GGAACAATGACGAATTTTTCCTTGTTTTGTTATGAATTGCCATCTTTTATTTCGTTAAAAAAGCTCAGTTGTACCAGTTTTATATAACGTTTTTTGCTCCCCGAAAGTAACGACCTCCCGAAAGTAGCGAGCCCCAAACGCTGCTAATTCCGAAAGAAACGAGTTACGAGGGCCGTTACTATCGGAAGTTTACGGTAATGGGTGAGTTAGGTTTTTGGGCTAGGTAGAGTATAGCTAGGTTTTTGGCTGGCTAAAATTAGCCAATCAGGTTGGTCCGTTACTAGTCCATTTCTGGTATCTATTTCGTACCTCAACCATGTTTTGTTTTGACAAGGTCAAGTGACACCGCGTTAAACCCTTAAAGAATTAGAAAGGAGACCAATTTGGGCGTGGCTCTACTGACTTGAGCTTCATTTGACCCCTAAAAGAGAGACAGACAAGGGCTACAATGATTTTAACGAATTGATGCTAAATAAATTTTCATCGAATATTTTCTTCTAAAAGTAGAATCTAAAAACCTCCGCTTATTTGTACTTGTTGAAGAGAAACCCTAAAAGACACCTCCCTTTACGGTTAAAAATAGTGGGGTTTTGTCCTAAACACCCTAAGTGAGACCAAACTCCGTGATTTACACCCCTAGCTAGGTCTAGCTAAGCTAGACGACGAGCATGCCCGACCTTCTCGCAAAAGCCCCCACTTCAACCTTTTTAATTTTGGCGCTAAAGATTGGCCAATGGTCAGTCACGCAATCTTTCGAACGATTGCGTGATCCAACTTACGATCCAGCGGTATTTTTCAATAGTTATGCGCTCTTGTAGCTTGGTCCCAATCCCCCCAATTTCCCGCGTTCTCTGAGTTAGCATGCTGACTGCAATCGAAATAAGTCAGAAACGAACGTCTTTCTCGAATTAACTGGCTCAGAACGTCTTCATTTATAACGCAGACAGTCAAAAAAGAGAAGGAAGTAGTTCGAAGAAAGGAAGAGAAGGAAGGAATTCGAAGAAAGGTTGGAGTATAAGACATGTCTTCTATAAACGTGGAAAATGATCCTAATGAACTGAAGATTTGCCCGTATGACCCAGTTCATCGGGTGTCAGCCAAGAGATTCCCATACCATTTGGCTAAGTGTCGAAAGGTAAGAGATGCACATGACTTAGTAGTTTTTACATGTATGTTATGTAAGAAATTATTTTCTTAAGCTTTATTCAGTATTTGAATGAAATGCGAACAGTTTGGTTGAGAGCTCAAAACGTCGTTACGTCTGTAGCGCGTGCAGTTACTGAACCACACAAGATGTTATTAATTCCCAAGACTCCCTTCTTGGTTGAAACCAGGGGATTGTAGCGGTTTATTGCCTTAGCAAACGTTTTCTTTCTCTTCTATTTTGACTCCATTACGTCTTGGGTTTTGATTAATGCTGGCTCTTCATCACCAAGTCTCTGAAGCTGTGTTTGTTCAGGTGGCATATCCACCAAAGCAAATAACCTTTTTACAATAACTGCAGAAATTCTCTCGCACTCATTGGCTAATTTTCATTGTCAATAACCGGACAGACACATGCATTTATAATTATGTTATGTGTCAACAAGCAAATCGATGTCAGTTTTTCATATGTCTGTCCAATTATTGACAATGAATTTTGTCATCACATTGTCAAAGTAGCCTGTGCATCCACAGCTACTTTGACAATGTTATGGTAAAGTTCATCATCAATATCAGGACAGATGCATGAAAAACGGACGTCAATTTGTTAAGTGGTCATCAAATATTGATAAAATTGGTAATTGATAACATTCGATAAATATCGGTAGAAATTAGATAATCATAATGGAAATCAATAAAATCAATAAAAGGGGTTATTGTGAGTTATCTCTATTTATCAATTTTTAAATTTGCATTATTGATTTTATTTTCAATAAACATACAGTGCAACCACCCTGTTAATACGACCACCTCGTTATTACGGCCATTTTATTCTGACCCGAAAGAAAGCTCAGTCAGTCATTTTCTTATTTCAAGAACCCCTGTAATATGACCACCCTGTTTATACAACCAATTTTCCATGGCCCGAAGTTGGTTGTATTAACGGGGTTCCACCCTAGAATTATTTATTGAAGAAAGAAGCCAGACAAGGGCATCTGATGCTGAATGACCGATGATGAATAAAACCTAACGTAGTCACCGAATGTTTTAGAGTCGACCATAACATTACAAATAAAATTGCATAAAAACATGGTGTGGTCTCTCATAAATTGCTTCTTAACATAATATGTCACAGTTATAGGTGGCTATGTTACAATCAGTCGCTGCCTCGATGGACACGGTTTTGAAAAAACTAATGAACAAATACTAGATTTCAATTGATTCTAAAACAAATGGTGAATCATGTTTGAGAGACACATGGTGGAATATTGATTATAATGGTTAGTTTGGAATGGTTACTATATACCCTAACTTTTCAACTATTCAAACTTGTTATTTGGTACTGAAAAGAGGGCCTGGATAAATTTTATAATAAACCCCCAAGCAGTCCTGTTGTTCACTTTTTGGAGCTCATTTGTGCCTGTCCAGTCTCAAGGAAGATCAACGTAGTATATCGATTGATTAATACTTTATGGAGTTTAACAACTGGTGTAGTAAAGTGATGTGAAAATAGCTGTAAAGAATAATACACAACAAAAATTGAATTATCATTGTTGACAGTGTTGACTGTGGTGGTACATGTATTTTGACAGCAATATACCAGCGCAGGATGGACAAAATGTCCCTTTAATGCAAGGCACGAGATTCCAGTTGAAGAGTTAGATTATCACATGTCAATCTGCGAACATAAGGTATGAGTCATATTTACATTGCATAAATTTCTTTTTTTAGATTCGTTCTTCACATATTTATAATTTTTAAAAGGCAAAGTTAATGTTGAGCCAACATGGTCAGCAGTCAACCCCATGAGGGCATGTGACTTGCAGAGTGACTTAAGGAGCTTGCAGCTTGCGAATTGACCTGCGTACATTTGGTGTCGTATTTCAGCTGATCTTTGCGAATCATTTGCAGTTTTGAGCTGATATTTGCAGATTTCTAGCTGCAGATATTTTTCTGTGAATCATTGCTGATTCTAGCTCCCAGCCATTCCCTCTCATGGTGCTTGAGTATATATGTTTCCACTGAACTCCTTTCAGTGTGATGGTGCCAGGTGACAGTTGCTTACAGGGGTGGGTCTTGCTCACAGGGTTGCCATGGATACCTCCCTGCTGTGCCTGAAGTGCTCAGGTACCCTGCTGACCTATAAGGCACCAGTTCCCAAGCTCATCTAAATTAGAGATGAGTTTGATGATACTTTAAAGTTTTAAAATTTTTGTTGTTATAAATACAAGTAAAATACAATTACTACAATTTATTTTTGGATTAAGCAGCTACACCACCCATTTTAGACCTTGACTAATAACAATTTGGCAAGTTGTACATATTATTAAATTTTTCTTTAGGCTGGACTCTGGTATTATTTGAATAATGGCTTATTATTTGAATCAAGGCTGTCTAAATTGCTTTTGTTTGTGAATGTTTCATTTTTTTTAAAGGATGTCATCAGACAAGACATTGAAGAGTGTAAGTTTAATAAAATTAAATTGTAATTATCAAGCTTTGATTCATTATTTGGTCACACTAATTTGAAATCCTGTAGATAACCTGGCAATAAGGTCTTAGAAAGATTTGTCCACTGAGAGAACAAAATTGAATGCAACCCTTGTATGCTAGGAGATACATGTATACCCCCAAAGACAGTGTCAAGACTAGTTATCAATCTGCTTGAAACTACAAACATCTACATAGAAACTTGCACGCAAGTAGAGTTTATGTATCAGAATATCCATCAAGTATTAAGAGGACATGTCCACATACCATGACCCAATAGTAAGTAAGTAAGAGTGCCAAATACATGTATATTACTGTCTGACCCTCCCACTCAGTTACATGTAGTAATCCTCCATAAGAAAAAAGATGGTGACTGATACATTTACCCTTAATTCTTAGCCCACAAAAACTTTAACAAGACTCACAACATTGTATAGAAAAGTTCTAAAATCTTCAAACTTAGCATTCATGATGTTGTTAGCACAAGGGCAAATATCGCAAAAAATAATTATGGCTTTCCTAGTACTTTATGGGCTGGGTAAGGTTCACATGGTATTGTGGTAAAATGTACAGATGCCATTTTTTCTACAGTGGATTGCTTATGATTGCAACAGTTTAAAACTCAATGGGTTTCATCCACAACTAATTGTGTGTCAATCTAAATTCTAAATTTCAGATGCATGTCAGGCGATAATTGAGGAAAAGCGACTATATCAGCCACAACCAACACCAACAGTTGATACTGATACGACGGAGGATTGGGAGTCAGGTATTCTTTACCTCATCACTTGTTAACTCAGGATTGCTAGTGATCTTTCTCAGAAGATTTGCCCATCCAAAGGGGAAGACGGTGGCTATTTTGAACACTGGTTGATAATATCTTGCTGGCGAATTCTGGCAACCATTCCTCAACCCTAATGGGGTTTCTGGTATCGACTATCAAAATTAGTCAGTTTCTGAGCTGTTCTGTCTTTAATCTCCCAATGAAACTGTGTTTCATATTTTACATCTTTACTTAGGTACCATATGCACTAAGTTGACAAGATTTGTTTGGCTCTGACAAAAATGTTGACAAATTCTGTCTCCACCAAATTTTGAATTTTGGTAATTTTGAATTTGGTAAAAATTTGCCTATTATGTTTCTTTGTCTTAGTCTTTTATTACTATTATGATACATTGTATGGTAATAACTTACTATTTTCAGAGGCTTACAGTCAACCATTCTCCATCAGTGGTGCTGAACCAGTTGAGGAAGACGTGGATGCATATGACATTGTCCAGGCCATGCAAGAGGTTCAACTACAAGCACATGGAGTAAAATCCACACCAGTGGACACTACTGGGTGAGGGAAGTTGTTACTAAGAATCATATTTCTTTACCCAATTGCACTTTTCATAATTAGCTTTTTTCATAATCCAATGTCGATGTGAGGTAATTTCGAGAAGAAGCTTTTTGTTTTTTGTTTTTTGCCCAAAATTGCCTCACATAAGTTTTTGGATTGTATTGTAATGCAGACGGGTCTCAAAAAGGGGTGTTGACATCTGTCCGGGGTCTGAAATTAACTTTTTAAGGCAGGCGCCAATTGGCGACTGAAATTTTTTTCAGTCGCCATATGGAAAAATGTGGTCGCCAAAAAGTGTCAATAAAATTTTTCCTTCACAGCGAAACAGAAACCAAAATTTTTGGGCACCATGGGCTTGCCGGCAAAATATTTGCNTCTGGTTGCCAGAGCAAAATTTTTAGTCACGTTGGCGACCAGGAAAGCGCAATTTCGGACCCTGCTGTCGTAGTCAAAACAACTGATTGAAAATCATTATGTGCTTCACATTTTTCACGTTTAACCAAAAAATGTTTACTTACATGTAATCTTTTAATGATCTCAATTGAGTAAAAACATTTTTTACACAAATCAAGATCAGTCACACAGTTTCAATACGAAAAACATTTTATGTGTGTGGTTTTGCATGTACACATCTTTTAATTAATATGCTAACTGATATTGCAGTATGACAGCCACTCAGAAGAAGAACTTAAAAAGAGCACAAAAAAGACAAGAGAGGCGTGCTGCTGAAGGGTGAGTTAAGGAGATTAAAGGCCTGGGAAGCACAGGAACTTGTGTGAGCGACTTGCAATTGACTTTGGTTTTACTTCTGATTTGATCAAAAAGGCAATGTGAGTTGTCTAAGCCAATTGTGAAGCACAGTAATGTAAAGCCAAAAGATGAGAAATTTCTCCCATATCATGATTTTGTAGAGGTCCTCAGAGGATTATAATTATTTGGTCATCATTAGCAATCTTTTGAGTTTCCACCAATGGAAAAAATTACAACCTACAGTCATTTTGCCTTGAATACTGTAAAGAAAGGAACTAGGAACTCTCTTGAATTGGATATTTTTTGTGTTGATGTTTTTCTGTTAGCTAAGCTTCTGACTGCAACACTTTCTCCACGATCACAGTGTCATTTTGCACTTAAATGTATGTGCAGCAAAGAGAGAATTGACATGAATATACTATATCTTAATGTAACCAGCACTGATGACGAACCTGTGATGACTGATGAGGAAAGGTTAGCAGCCATTGTCAAGCAGTATGCTGTGCTGAATAACAGAACATCAGGTAGCATTTTGCAATTATCTTCTATAATAGAAGTAAAATAAAAATTCACCAGAACAGTGACATCTTCACACCCTTAGAAAGTAAAGCATACTTAGCACATGGTGGGGGTGGCAGGAGGGTGGGTGGGGGATATGAGACCTACACTGTACCAACCTGAGTGGTTAAGATAAAAGGATCCTCTTGCCAGATATCTTATTACACCTTACACATAACTCATTTTGTTTAGGCTTAGAATAGAAATCACAATGAGTAAAGCAGTTTGCAAAGTATCACATATTTAAATCGAAGTAAAAATTCAGTGGCCATGTCACATTTCCTGGACAGAAAAAAAAGACCCTTTTAGTTTGTTACTTTGTTTAAACCTAGAATCTGAGAGTGTGATCACAAGCATTAGTGTACCAGTTCCGTGACTGTTAACAACCTAGTACAAAAGCTCATGATCCAGGTGCTGTCATCATGACTATTTTAACCTTGAGTAGCAGGAAATAAATGACTTGATATTTTCTCAGGTGAAAATTAATAGACACCACCTTGCTTTAACTGTAATATATATATTTTTTTTCATTCCATCTACAGGCAGTTTTGTTGACTTTGTCAGCATCTTAAATCAATACTGCCAGAAAAACCGAATAAATGTACCTAAATATGGTGAAGCAGCAGGGGTGCAGGGAGGCTTTGGAGCACAAGTTTTAGTGAAGGGACAGATATTTACCACCATGAAATATTGCTTGACCAAGAAGGAAGCACGTCATGATGCTGCTAAGTGTGCTCTTCTGGGTCTCAACATTCCAGTAGGTAGGTAAAGTCTGCATACAAGCCAAGTGGCCCATCAGGCCAGTGCTTTTCTCTGGTTTCTGTAGCATGAAGTGACTGGTAAGGAGTATTTCCACTCTCCCTTGGATGGGATGCCAGTCCATCGCAGGGCTACCCCCCAGCATTAAATTTGCTGGTACCCATTTAATATAAACCTGGGTAGAAAGAGGCTCTTTAGGGGCAAGATATTAGATGTTGACTCTAAATTGGAGATTTGTGAAAATAGTGATTTCCTCTCATGGACATTTTTCTGGCTTGAACTCCCCACCCCCAGACCACCTTCTGGAAACTCTGATATTTAACTTTGCACTTGCCATTAAAAACTTGCTTTCTTTGCTGTGGCCTTCCTTGCAGTGGGTATAGGAGAATTTTTGTTTACAAAATTGCCTCAATAGCATAAGTGATAAAGTTTCTGATGGAGCTACAAAAACATTAGTTCTGAATGTTGAAAGGGCGTAGCATGATTAATTGTCTCGAGGAATCTGAGCCCAATGTACTTTTTGTGCGATGAAGGTTGAAAAACTCAAAATTTTACAAAGAATGCATGAGCTCATTAGCGCTTTTGCCACCCAGAAATGTTGCAGCTTTTGAAAGCCAATTTCTCCTTGAATATGATATCCAAAGAGCCAAATTTTCACCAGTTACTAAGTTCAGAAGCTCTTTAAATGTTTGAAGTCATTTGTGTCTAGCATGATGCCTTCTCTGTGCAAAGTTGTATGTTAATGAGGAAAAATGTAAACAATGACATCAGTAAAGGTTTGCCTTTAGCTATCTATGTCCTGGTTTTCCACAATGAACAAAATATGGTTAAGAATCACTGCATGTACAAGGCAGACCAGTTGGCTATACTCGGAGGAACTACAGTAATCGCATCATGACTGAGAATAACATCCGCCAATGGACACAGTAGAGAAATTTTAACTTTAACCCGAGATGCAAGACCACACTCCATTTGTACAAAAATGGCTTTTAATTATTAATGTAGAAATTCTTGCACGCTCATTGGCTGATTTTCATTGACCATAAGTAGACAGACACATGAATTTATAATTTGTGACGTGTCAACGAACGAGAGTGGACAATTCGACAATTTGTTATTTTTAAAAAACAAATTGATGTCAGTTTTTCTTGCATCTGTTATTCACAATGAATTTTGTCATGACATTGTCAAAGTAGTCTGTGGATCCACCTGGCTATCACCTGGTGGATCCACAGCTACTTTGACAATATTATGACAAAATTCATGATCAATTACAGGACAGATGCATGAAAAACTGATGTCAATTTGTTAACTTGATTAGTAGAAAGTGCTAAATCTATATATCTACAGTGTGGTATGCAAATTTCTAAAGGCAGTATACGTGTTTTTGTTTTCAAAATTGATAGTTTTCATATAATTAAATTGTTTACTGTCTAGAAACAATCTTAGACTGAATAATAATTATTGTCATCTGCTTTTTTAACCAGTTGACCCAACACCCAACAAACCAATGGCTGCAAGAACGGCCATGGACCATCAGCGATTAAGAGAAACACACGAATTACAGCTGCTAAATGATGCAGGCCAGCCACAGCCTAGAGGGAGGGGAAAGCCAGTCTTGAAACCTCCAAGCGCCTTTTCCAGTTCTGCTACTGGCCCACCCATGACACAACAGCCATCCCAAAATGGCGCAACCATGGTGCAACCCGCCCTGAATGATACACCCCACAACTTCCCCGTGGTTAATGGAGCATCAAGAGAAGATGATGATGAGTGGACAACAGTGGGCAAAAAAGGTATAGCAGAGTAGTAGTAAGGGTATTTTTCTGATGTGCATCAAAACTAATTAAGTGTTGCTTTGGTTTTCTATAACTACATTACATGGATTGGCTTTAAAAAACTCATATCTATGACTTGTTTGCAAACGTTTTCCTGTGCTTCCGTCAGCTTCATGTATTGCATTTGCTTGGATGTTTTGGTTGACCAGAATGATTACTTTGATTT